TGAAAGAGGATGGAGGAGTAAAACGTGCAGAAACCGGAATCACATGATGTCTTGGAGATGTTTAGTTTGATTCTTTAAAACCAGTCTGAGGCTGAGCTTAGGGAACACAACTGCTACAGGACACATTGATAATCTTTATCTACCTGAATGCTACACATCAGCAGGATCTGTTTGGACAAAAAAACTAAAAAATACATACTGAACCATCATTGCTATGCTCTGTAAATTCACATTTCTCCATTAAATGAATCAACTTTCATTGTCAGAGGGAAACTAGCTGCTCCTTACAGCGTGACAATGATCTTCCCAGATCCACAGCAGTGTGTGTTTATCTGAGCTAAAACCTGAAGGATCTCAGTGGAGATTAGCAACACCTATTGACCAGTACAACAGTTAGTTACCACAGCAACTGATCACAGCTGTTAAACAGATATAGTTGATAAAGGAGTCATGCTTTCTTTTTAAAGTCTTTTGGCCATCTAGCTATCAAACAGTGTTACAGGTGGGCTGCACAGTGGCGCAGGTGGTAGAGCTGTTGCCTTGCAACAAGAAGGTGCTGGGTTCGATTCCCGGCCCTGGTCTTTCTGCATGGAGTTTGCATGTTCTCCCTGTGCATGCGTGGGTTTTCTCCGGTTTCCTCCCACAGTCCAAAAACATGACTATCAGGTTAATTGGCCTCTCCAAATTGCCCCTAGGTGTGAGTGTGTGTGCTTGGTTGTTTGTCTCTGTGTTGGCCTGGTGACCTGTCCAGGGTGTACCCCACCGTTGTTTAATGCAGTGTTTTTCAACCACTGTTCCACGGCACACCTGATGATCACTACGAGTGATCATCAGGTGTGCCGTGAAAATTATTCAATTTCACCTATGGTACCGTATTTTCCAGACTATAAGCTGCTTCTTTTTTCCTAAAATTCGAACCATGCGGATTGTAGCCCGGTGCGGCTTTTCTGTGTATTTTTCTTCAACCACCAGGGGGCTCTCTAACAGGAAGTGAATAATTAGAAGTCAAAATTGTAAATCAAAGAAGAACGCGTTAATTTTCATTTAAAACAGCCATATGCTAGCAGCAGGCACGACGGAGAAATGTTTTAAACTCATATGATGCAGCTTTTAAGTTGAGGGCTGTCGAGCTGCCACTACAGGAGGGAAATAGAGCCGCTGCACTTCAGCTCGGCGTGAACGAAACCATGGTTAGTAGTGGCTAGCGGCGTAATCATGTATTTTTTTAACCACTAGATGGCAGTAGGTACAGAGCATTTTACATTAAAACAAGAGAATTAGTGATGCATGAATATTACAGGTAGCGGTGAGAGCATCGTATCTAGCAAGACTAACGACAGTGATGGAAAAGACAGTGAAGCTCAGCAGTAGTTGGAAAGAACATGGGTCCATTTCCCACAACATGTCTGTGTGAAGTGAGCTTCTCAAGCCTGGCTACTATAAAAACTAAAAACAGAGAGAGACTGAGAGCTGTTGAGGAAGAGCTTTGTCTTTCTTCAATTTCTGCCAGGAAATCAGTTTTCATCCCAACATGCACAGGTTTCACACTAGGTGGGTAAAATATACAGATATTGACATTTTGTACATGCAAATCTTCATATTGTAACAGTGAATATGAAGTGAAATCTTTCCCAAATATTATTGCTTCTTTCAGAATAAGAATTATTTTCTGTATTCCGGCTAAAAGAATGCTTATGGATTAGTTTGTAAAACACTTTGAAGTTTTCTACAACTTCTTTAAATTTAAGACCACATTGTTGTGGCACTGTTCAGGTGTATTTTTGAAGTGGACATGTTAAGTGCAATTTGAAATAAGAAATGTAAAATGTGATAAAAATACATTTTTGTGTTTATTTGATTGCTACTCAAGACACTTTGATAAGAATGACTATATATATAATATGGCCGACTACAGAGTATCTTTGTTTACATTTTTGGTTGGTGGTGTGCCTCAAGAGTTTTTCAATTAAAACAGTGTACCTTGGCTCAAAAAAGGTTGAAAAACACTGGTTTAATGTGTCAGGTCGGTGAGAATTTGGGCTCGTTTTTTAGCCAGGTCCCTTACATTTGTTAGTTGATCTACTAAACAGAAAACCACCAAACAACTAACTTGTGTTTTAAAGGCATATGAACATTTGCAATTTTAAATAAGTAATGCTCCGGCATCACCCTTCTACACTCCCGATACTGTGACATCCAGCTAAACTAAGCCGCTATAGATTGTTGGACATGCTAAAACATTCTGAGGCATAAGCTTTGCATATATCACACATGCTCCAAGCCTCATTAAAATAGAATTTACAGAAATGGAGCAATGTTGCTGAAAGGAAAGCCATTATAATGTCACGTGTGTCATTTTATGTCATGCAGCATGAATGGATGAAAGCTCACTCACTTCAGCATGCCAAATGCTCAAACTGCCAGGAGCATATTTCTGAATAATTCAGCTATTTTTTTTTTACTCACAGACTAAAAAAGACTAAAAACAGACTGAATTTATAAATCTTATTAACCACTCAAATCGCTTGTCAAAAGTAGGTGAGACCAGTCCTTATTTCCATGCATAACATGATTTAAAAGAAAAAAAGATGAAAGCTCTTTGAATAGAGTGTAAGATAAAAAGACAAAATACATGTATTAACATTGTCTCCTTTTTCTTACAGAAGTGATGATTTTAATTACAATCAATTAAAATAAAACATGATTCCTGTTTTCTTTTACAGAATACTTGTATTAAATTCAATTGTAATTATGATTAATATATCTTAAATGAAAAACAGCAAAAGACTGACAGTAGTGCCTTCCTTGTTCTCTTCTAGTGTAAATTGTTGCCCTCATTCTGTTCTCCATCCTCTCTGTAATTTTGTACAAAGAAAAAGTTGCCAAACTTGAAACCCTTGAAACTGAGAAAAGTGCTGCTGGGGATGAGCTCAGACTTAATGAGGGAGGTTGTATATGCAGACATAAAACAATGTGTTGGGAAGATTACTTGGATTAAGAAAATAGCTGCTTAGGTTGTTTTAAAACAGAAAATGTTTTAATAATTAATAATAAAATATTATTAATTATTATTAGATAATTAATAATGTTATTAATTACATTATTAATAAAATATTGTTAATAAAATATTTTATTAATATTAATAAAATATTATTAATTTAATGTTTTTTAAAATATTAAAAATTTAATATTTTTAATTAATAAACTTGAATCTTCTTTGACAACTAAATTGATAGGGTTAAAATATTTATTTTTTTAAATGTCAATCTAAATGATTCTGGTAGTGTGTTGTGTTGGTCCTAAATGTTATTAACAATGATCTTAAAAGATCTTAAATTTAACTTACTGAAACCTGCAAGAACCCGTTTTAGGAAGAGAAGAGCAGAGCGTAGAAGTGCTCTGTTTTAGCTCATGGTCTGATACAAAGTAATTCCACATAAAATCACTGTAATTGTATGTGGAAACTTCCCATAATATGACAAACTGAGAATCAGTTTTTTAATGTGCAGTACCTGCAATGAATTTCAGATAAATATTTTAAATTAAACATAAAAGTTCTAAAGTCCCATTCATTCTGACAGATTTGCAAATGAGTGGAAGCTGATTTCAACATGTAGAAGAAGCAGAAACCGCAACACACTTCCCAGCAGCATGGCTGGATAAAGGCATGGTGAATAATTAGCTGCTCCACAGCGTTTTCTCCCTGCAGGGGGGCTGCAGAAATCTTTAACTCCCTCCACTCAGATCCCTTATGCAGCAGATGGGCACGCCTGTTTCTGCCACTCTCAGCTTAATTTCTCACTCCTTTTCTGTTCTCTTCTTCCCTCAAGTACCAGGTTTTCCAGGCCAGACCCATCAAAAACAGGCCTTATGGACCACATTTACTAAAAATATGGCAGGAGGAAATGTGTGGAAAACTTTGAGAAAAAAAAATACATGGACAGGAAGATGACTCAGAAAAGTTAGACGTAAAAATAAGGATTTTGTGTAAATGTTTGAACTAACTCCCTACAATTCCAAGGGCCATGAGAGATGGAAGGCATTAGACGTAACCCAAGTGAGACATGTCTGTAAAGTGTCATCAGTCCATCCTGCTACAGTGGTCCACCTTACTCACAGGGAACTGTTGAGATGAACATCCTCAGCAACTGACTCCTAACACTGATCCAGACTCAATCCACTGCTTCACTTTCTTTGACTATCCCTTATAGAGCAGATACTGTTTCAAGAGAAAATGAATTTCTAACATGGAATGGGATGTTGTGGCTGAACAGCTGGTGCACCCACTTGCCAGCTGTTTCACTGCAGGATGTTTGCAGATAAAAAAACTGGCCATCCTCCCATTTATCTGACAAAAGCATGAATGCAGATTCAACACGTTACAGGGAGGCCGAGAAGAAACGGTACCAACACATCAGAGCAGAACATGCCTCTTCACAACCTTGTGTACACGCTGCTCAATGTGCTGATGGCAGAGAAACAACTTACCATTAAAGAAAAAATATTTATCCACCGTCATCTGCGCCCATGCTAACTAGCTTTAGCATTCACAGCAGGCTCTGCTATCAAGAGGAAGATGTAATGTAGCAAAGGGGCAAAGCAGTGGACGGGAACGGAGTATGAGCAGCACACTTACAAGCATAATTGACAGCACCAAGACCCTCCTCCTGGTTTCTAGTTAGCACTGGGAGAAGGCAAATGAGGTCAATTTTTATAGGTCATATGTCCAATTATCCTACTGTCAAAACATGGTGACAGTTTCAACAAATATATAAAAACTATTATTTATAAAAGTTACATACTGCGGCTCTAATGCTACCAAAATACAGAAATAATACAACTATAGACAGAGTTTTTTTTGACTCATATCCTTCTTCATTATAACAGACTGGAGCAACTCCTGCATTATGTCCATCTCTTGTTCCATCCTTTCTACACTATAGAATTAATAGCTTACGCTAATTTGCCATGTCTGACCTTTTTCCACAAGTGGAATATTGCTGCAATGTAAACTGCTGTTTGCTTTTATAATGATTGGAACTAAAAAATGTTTTTAGGAACCAATGAGCCGGCAAAGCCATTGCTGTCCATTTAAACTAAATCCCAATAGCTAACGAATTGCTAATGAATTGCACACTGTACTAGCGAACAGTGTGCTAGACTGCTTAAATCGAAACGTTCTCACTTTAGAAGCCCCTCATGTAGCCTTAAGGATTTACCAGCTCTCTATATTAGTTTACAGTAGTAGACAAGCATTGTAAATCCATAAAATAAAGTTAATAAATTCCTACACTAACTTCTACTTCACCAATCTCTGAGAAACTACTGTAGATTAAGTGCGACCACATTTTACCACTGTCCTTAAATCTTGTTTGGTGGAAACATTCAAACACTGTGCAGACCTGAATGCTTTGATGATGCTGATAAAGGGCTATTCTTTGAAGTGAGGGATCTACTAAGAGCCTTGTAACTCTCACAAAGGACAGACTTATGGGAGATATGTCCTGAGGGGAGCCACTGCCTGGAATACAAACACAGCCTGTTAGGCTCCATTCTGAACAGAAAGAAATGAAGCAGCGGAGCAGATACAAAGATCAAACTGTGTTATTATCTACTCATGTTTTTTGTTTTGTTTTGTTGCATCAAAGTAAAGAAAAAGAAAAAGCCAATTCTAAACCTCCATCTCCTCAGGTCCTGTATCCTTAAGTGGATTTACTAGAAATGTACCTATAAGCTTTATACTTATTCTGAGGCCTGATTTTCTGGCTAGAATTTATTTTCTAAAGACTATAGCAAATAAAAGAAAAAAGATGTGCTGCTTAGAATCCAACAAAAAGGAAGGAATTATAAAAATGAATCCTATTTGTGTATCAAAACAAAACAGCTGCAGATGTAAAGTAAATTTAAGTACATGGCTGCTTAAATACAGAACGTAAGGATAGAAATGGCTTACAACAGGGACTCGCAGCACTTGGATAGGCTAATAAAGTCAACAATATTGACTATGAACACCATTAACTACATGCCACAATCTTTCTTGGGGAGGTGAGGCACTCCCTTGGATAAAAGTAGGGAAAACACAGAAAAAAAAATATAAAAATGAACTAAGTTGGCACTGCCGCGGTAGAACAATTCCGTTAACTAGATGAAACATGGAGATGTTTTAGTGCAAGGGGGAAAATGGCACAGAAAAACCGTTGAATAACTCAAGACCCACTTTTTTCTCGCTCTCTGTCAGCTACACTACACGCAGACTTGTTGCCATAGCAACTCACAACAACACCATAATATGCATCAAGATTCAACACCACAAAAAGTGATCAAACATTTCTCACACAAAGAACAGCACATTTTTATACTTGATTTTTATTTTGCTATTATTAATAAGTGAGCAGTGTGGTAGATTAGCAAGCACTGTGGTGTTTGATTAGCTCATTTAAACACTGCTCTACTGATGATCTGTCAGGGTTGGTGTGAGGGTCGCCATTTTTTAACTGAACCCAAACACCAAATTCCACATTACATCTACATGTTAAGGTTGTCAAAGGCAAGTTAGCATAACTACTTCCCTTTCCTTCAATGTTTTTTTAATGAAAACTTTTTCCAAACCTTGTAATCTAGTTGTCATCGTGTTGACATTTAGTAGCAAAGCACTGCGTCCCTTTTTCTTTTACATATCAGGCGTACGTTTCAGATTTAGTGCATTATGTTGACAGCTTAACAGCTAACACCAATGATAGTCATCAAGCAGCTTTTTGCATGATGTCATGCTACAATTGGTCCAGATAAACAAACCAATTTTCCTCTCTTCCAATAACACCCCGCCTTCCCTGCAGAGACTCACCTGAGACTCATGGCCGAGAAGAAAACGGTGAGCTGCTGTTTAAAGTTTAAATCTCTGCTAACATTTAAACTACAGCCAGAGAAGTCTCTTCAGCTGATGAGCCAAACAGCAGCATTTGTTAGGAGGTTTGACCCATGAGAAAAAAAAAACTGATGTTTGTTAGTAGTGTTAATGCTGAAGACCTAAACTCTGCTGTTTGAGAGCTACTAAAAAAAGTCAGTAAAGTAGGAAAGCATTCCTCAGCAGTTGTTGTGCTGGAGACGTCACTGATAAAACTCTCACCACTGTTTTATTGAACAGCAGCTTAAGAAGATAAATAGCTTCAGTTAGTCAGAATTATTTGTTTTGTGCTTATGCCAATCTTTGACCTTCATGTTGTGAGTCGCTCACTTTTATAGTTTATTACAGCCCTGCTCCCTGCCTGGGTTTTTATTCAGATGTGACACCACAAGATCAACACAGGCTCCATTTAGCGTTCTTTAAGAACCTCCTGGATACGCCCCTGCTCAGCAGTCTTAAGGAGGTATTTCATTTACACATTAATATTCAAGCATTGTCACATTCATCTTTTGAAAATGACCAAATTAAAACTTAAGTGTTAAACACAGTACATAAATACATAAATAAATATTAATTCAAACTTATGCTTTTGTGGTTCAATATTCATGTATTTTTCTGTAAAACATAACTAAATCATATGCATAAAATTTGTAATTTATTTCACACAAATGCAGCTTAGGGATGCTGACATATCTACTGCTACTTGACACACTATTGGCTGTTATTTGATTTCCCTTGCTGCCAATTGGCTGAACCCATAAGAGTGGATGTATGGAAGACCCTTGATCTTTGCTTCTGTGCTAAAATGGTGTCCACTATGCATTATAGCGCATAGTAGCATATTTGGAGTTGGAACTATTAAAAGAAGCAGTTTTGATCATTTTTAGAGCAGGTCTCATGCATTTGCAGATTTCAGGTATTCACAGGAGGTAGTGGACTCTAATCTCTGAAAATGCCAGGGGTTCCACTGTATGAGGACAAATAGAGCACTTCCACTTGTGATCTGTTTGATACTATGTGGTAGATTTTCACTGGCTCTTAGCAGCAGTTCGGTAAATAGACTTACACAAAGTGATGTGGTGATAATTCCAGACTGCGCTCTCTCCTGTAGCTCTGAAATATTTTGTGTTTTATACGCCAAAGACTGCTAGCTTTCGTTACAGAGCTGTGCATCAGTTGATCTGGCTCTTCTTTCAGGAATCCTGCTGGGAAGACGTTAACTTTTCATGAAGGTGATCTTTTAAATGAAATAAAAATAAAAAAAACAACAACTGATAATTCCTTTACATATATCAATATATGAGCGTGTAAAAACAATCTCCAATTTTTATGTACTTGAGTTATCTTTTAGTGATATTAGCATTTATTTGATAATCTAAAACATTTAAGTTTGATACAAAGCAAAAACAACAGATCTGTGAGGGGAGATATATCTGTCTCATATCTTTCTTCCTCCTATTGCTTTTATTTCTAAAGATCTTGGCTCACATTCAAAAGATTTTCAGTTGAAAAGTGTATCGTCTTGTTGGAGTCAAAAAGGAGACGATAAAGAGTGATTGCTACCCTGCTGGAATCCACACATTGTTTCCCCTTCACTGATGGGGGTTAGATTTTTATTTTTATTTTACACAGAATATCATGAAAGAATATGATAATTACCCTGAAAAAACACCACACACTCAAACAGAGCAAGGAAGGCCAACCAAGCAGTACGCTAATACAGAGTGTCGGGTGTGGGGCTATTTACATACCCTTCCAGAGCGCTTGTCACATTCAATTAATTACTCTGTGGAGGGGTGACAAAGATGATTAAAAATATTTCCACACGCTTTCTGAGGAGGCAGCAGATGATCCATGAAACAGGCGTGCTGCCTTGGTGGAAGTTAAATATGGGACATTTTTCCTGCTCCCAAAGGGGATCGGCTCCCAGCCAAGAGAGGCGATGAAGACACTAGTGGTGTTTCCATTGACCATAAAATTGCACAAATTGAAATTACAAAAATTAATTTGCTCACTAGAATCATGGCAATTTAAAAAAAAAAAAAAAAATCTCTCGAATTTCGATAAAAAGATTTGCAGTAGAATGAGGTGGTTTGGTTTCTCAGATGCATTGAGATTGATGATTTTGCAAGACGATAATAGAAAAACTTTTTTTGCATTACAAGTCATGTGAACCACAACCAGATGTTACTATTGTTGGAAACAACAAAGATGACGACAGGAAGTAGTAGGAGGATGATGGTTTTGTTTTGGGGTATTTTTTTGGACAGTGTACCACTGGCTCCACCAGAACTCTCACAGCATCAGGATCCATAAAACGTTGTTGAAACCATAACTCATAGCTCAGCCCATAGCTCTTCTGTAAAATCACCAACTTCAATTTACCCAAGTTGGTGGATCTTGTTGCTTCAATGCCTGAATACAATGCCAAAGTCTCCTCTTATTGGCTAATAGATGAGTGAAAGCGTTATGGCTGAATTATAAATATATCTCATATAACTGTTTACATTTGTTGCTACCATGGTTTTTAATGACTATTTGTGTGAACAAGCTTATTCACATGTGATTTTAATTTCATTTCTTATTTAAGGGAAACAGCAACTGCGAAATTGTGCTTTTTCCAACATTAGCGGAATACAGACAAATATTCGTGCACATCTGTAACGGAAACTCAGCTAATGAGTTTGTCTGTGACAAAGCTTTGTTCTACTAGAGGAAGAAGTAGAAGTAATGAAACCTGCAGGGTAATGGCCTGCATCCCATCATCTGTCCATAGCACTTTTACATGGTGTCTTTTATATGGAAAGCAGCTGATTTAACAGCGTCAGATTGATTAGTGCGTGAAGGAGGACACCATGTGGGAGATTGAGCAGGAATTCATCTCAGTGGAATGGGTTAAACGTTCACATTGTGAGACTGTCCTTCTCTTGTAGCACAAAGGGATGAGATAAACTGATCTGCTGGGCTGGACCCAGCCACAGAAATCAAACAATTGGGGATTCTGCGACCTTGTATGGAACTGGGAGCTGGTAAAAGCGAGTCAGACACCCTGGGGGCCTGATGAACGCTGAAATCTACGTCTGAAGAAGTGCCGCACCTCAGCCGGATTACATCCGACCGCCACTGACATGCCCAGCTCAATCCATTCGTCACAAGTGCTGCTCTCAGCATTGACGTTCTTCAAATGGTCTCTTCTCTCCTCTCCTCTTCTCTCAAAGGCTTGTCAGGTTTTGATACCAATGTTTGTCTGTGAAATTTCATTTTTCTGCTCTGCTGATTGCTCATCTGACAGAAGACAGAATAGGAGACTTCAGTCAATATAACCTGTGAGTCAACACACACACTGTGGCGGTCACTGACAGGACAGCTGAGGTGTGTTCACTGGATAGCAAGATAACAAAGAACAATAACAAAGAAGAAGTGGTACTGATATATGGCTGGCCACGCAAACATTTTGAAAACCACAATAAGTTTCAAACAGTTTGGCAAATTTGATTTGGTTCCAAAAACTACAAATCAAGTTCAAATTGTGCATCAAACAAAAAGAAAATGTACTGCTTTGAAAACATAACATATTAAACACATGTTTTTTTGATTATTTTTTACAAATTTCATATTTTACAAAGCAAACCCATACATACTGTGAATGCCCAGAATCTGGGCATTCACAGCCATTATCTCTAGAGATCACAGCTGTCCAGTACAAGAGCCCACCACCCCAACACCTCTAAAAAGGTTTAAACACCAAATACCTTAACATGCATTACTATCCACAGTGAAAACATCTTGCACTACTTCAGAAACTAACATCAGCAGACATCCATCCTCAGCCCAAAGTATACTAAATAGTCCAAGAGCTTCATGCCCTGCTCCTGACCTGCAGCAGAGAACAGTCACCACCAGTTCAAAGGTTTTCACCTGGCTTGGCTGTTGGAGGGGAAATACTCCCCCTGGTTCTGAGCTTGATCAATATTGAAAGGTGCAGAGAGACAGAAACACTTAGAAAATGAGACAGAGCCAAAAATAGAGACTGATAAAAAAAAAGACAGGCATAGAAATAAAGGGAGAGGTAGAAATACCGTGCATAGGAGATGAATAAAGAATATTTTCAAGTTTTTTCTTGAGCTGCTCAGTGTGGAGGAGTGTAATTATGAGCTTACGCTTGAGCAAAACCAGGAAAACAAGCATCAACTGTTGGAGCCGAATGACTGAAACCAAACCCAGCCCTGGGATTTTAGGAAGACCAGTTCACACTTTTGGTCCACATCAGAGTTCTATTAGCATTCACACCTTCACAAACATCCAGACTCTCTAGGCCAGTGGTGCGCATAGTTGGTCCTGGAGGCCCGGCATCCTGCATGTTTTAGTTTTCTCCCTGGTTTAACACACCTGGATGAAATGATAGCTCATTAGAAGCCCTAAGAGGAACACTGACAAGCTCAAAAGGTTGTTACCACCACCAGGGAGAGAACTAAAATGTGCAGGATGCCGGGCCTCCAGGACCGACTTTGGACACCCGTGCTCTATGCCACAGGTGTCAAACTCCAGTCCTGAAGAACCACTGCCCTGCAACCTTTAGATGTGCCTCTGCTGCATCACACCTGAATAGAATAATTAGATCATTAGCAAGGCTCCGGAGAACTTCTCTACACAAGGAAGAGGTAATTAAGCCATTTGATTCCAGTGTTTTGTTCCTGTGGCACATCTAAACACTGCAGGACAGCAGCCCTTGAGGACTGGAGTTTGACAACCCTCCTCTAGGCAAACCAACTGGAGTTGGATAAAGCAGACTAAGCTGGATTGGTGTGAATGCAGCCCTTAAATGATGAATGGCCAAATCCAGCATGTCCACCTTTCCCCTCGCCCCAGCCCCCAACTTCACCAGCAACATGAAGGCTGGTGTTCAGGTCTTCAGAGTGACTCATTATGCAAACCCATCAAGCTGCAGCGGGGTTGCACTGCTGTTACTACAGCAGGGACAGACGGACAACCAGGTAAACCTCCTTATTTCTCCCATTTTTACCTCATGTCAGGTTAAACCTTCAGATCCACTCAGCTTCATCCAGAACAAACGGAGAAAACTCCACTCTGGATTATCCATCTCAATCATTCAAACACACACACGCACACAAACACATCTCCCAACAAGACGAGGCTTGTCACAATAAGCAATAACTCAATTAAGACAAACTCAATAATTTCCATTGAGATCCATGGTTTATTTTTCTCTTTATCTACCAAAAACTGGAGGATAAGTCTTCAGTCTGCAGCTTTGGCCTCTGCAATTCCTCTTCTTGAAGCACAATTTTGTTCAAAGAGACTTCGTAATTTATTTTATTTGTTCTTTTGTTTATTTATTTTGGATATTTAAAATGTCTTCTGGTTTTATTGTTAAATGTTTATTAGAATTTAAGGTTTATTGATCTTTGAGAATATGTTCTTGCATTATTATTCCATTACCTTTTGATTACTTGAAAATGGTCTCAAAACAACAATATTATCTTTTAACGCAATAACTTCAAGGACAATGTATCGCCCAGAAAAATGAGTTATTGTGACAGGCGAAGATGAGCCTTGGAAAAAAATAACGAAACAACCATCAACAGCCTCCTACCTGCAGTTTGGTGGCGGGTCCAGAGTAATCTCTGCCAACTCCTTCTGGATCCTGAAACGAGACGAGGGTCTGGGTTATGATCACACTCCTACAAACACACACACATACACACACACCCACTCACAAAGACTGTCTGTGAAATCAAGCTGGAAGTGAGCACAATAAACACTTCATCGATTTTCCAATGAGCTCCTGAGCACAGGAATAAGTCATGTCATGCAAGATCAACAAAGGCGTGCACAGCTGCGTGTTAGTCACCTTCTAAAGCAAGTGTGCAGTAACTGATCCTGGTGTCATAACTCTGAAACAACGCTGATGATCAGTCATGTCTGTACTGCATGAACAGATGAAAGTTTAATGGATGCACATTTCTCCATAATTAGGTTTTCATTACATGCCAGTGATTTGCCTGTCTTCATGGAGAAGAAAGGAGCTGTTCTACAATCCCTCCATCAGCTAGAACAGATACTCCTCCTCGCCTGTAAAAACAGCCATTTCCAAAAATACTATTTCAAAAACACTTAATTCATTTTATCCATGTTTCTTCTAAAAAATTTTAAGGTGACAAAGAATTTTCTGTAGCTGTCTGTCTTACAGCAAAGGTTAAGAAGCCTCTGACTAAGCAGCATTCAGATTCTTTGCACCAAACTTCCAGAAAACTGCAAAACTGTTGAAATGTTGAGTTCTTTTAAATCAAGACTAACAAGCCGCCTATTTAGCTGCCTTTGACTTGTAATAAATGGAACACTAATCAATATATTTGATGTGTATTAATGATTTTGAAGATGACAATTGACAAAATGTAGTGTTTATTTGTCGTTTCACAAATGGTGACAATTTTATGATGTAAAGCATTTTGAACCGGCTTGCTGCTGAAATGTGCTGTACAAATGAAGGTGAACTGAACTTGAATTGAATTATATGCTTATTTGCATTTTTTAAGAGGTTAAAGAAAATATTTTTAGAATATACGTTATTAATTTGGCAAACGAATAAAAAAAAAATCATAATTATTACCATAATAAGCATTAGTTGCAGAGCTACAACAAGAGATAAAATTTCACATACATCTTTTCCCTAAACTCAAACATCTGATATTTGATCTGTAGCTGATGAGGCCAACGTCTCCACATCTTGAATCAGAGTGAGGAGGAGAAACACATCAACACACGTCAAAGCACAATAAGAAAGCTAAGTACTTCACATGTATCAGTTTTCTTCTTTGTTGAAAACGGCTGCACATTATAAACAGCATACAAGCAGGTCAACATTCTCAGAAACAAGAGGAATTTCAGACCAACAAAACTAACAAAGCAGTTAATCAGAGAGAAGGGAAGAGCAGACTTTCACCTTGACCGTGAGGCAGTTTGATGTTCTTTTCTTCATGCTGCGAAAACTCAACAGCATTCAGTGAAAGTTCTTCACTGTTTGGCTTTTTTTTTACACATTAAACCAGGGAACAACCAAATTCAGTAGAAATCTATTGACCCTAAAGGGAAATCGAATTGTTGCTATGTAAACAAACACAAGAAATGTGCTATTCACATGGCAGCAACTTGAAATGTGGTGTAGATAGTGTGTATGAAGTTTTAACTGAGCATCAGAATAGGAATAAAATGACAATTTAAGTGTCTTTGAATGCAGCGTAATTGTCGGTGCCAGACGGGACGGTCTGAGCATTTCAGCACCTACTGATCTTCTGGGATTTTAACCCACAACCATCTCTCAAGTCTACAAAGGTCTGAAAAAGAGAGGATACCCTGTGAGCACTAGCTGTGTAGATACAAATGGGATGTAAATGTCAGGAGAATGGGTTGTCCGATGTCCACTGGTTCCAAACAACGGCTGCAGAACGCCATCTGTGAACACGCAACCAGTGGAACCTTGACGCAGCAGAACACCTCACCAGGTACCAGTTCTGTCATCTCAGAATAGGAAGCTGAGACTAGATTTAACAAATAAATAAATGAATGAATAAATAAATAAATAAATAAATACATAAAAGAAGTAATGTGAACAAAGAGGTCAGCTACAGTCTCATAAACATGTAACATAGACCAGAGAAGTCGCAGCACATGAAGATGAAAACTAGACGTAATTGAAAGCAGTGTGTAACAGTACCTCCACAGCTGGTGTGAATACCAATGCATTTCAGCTCTATTTCCTGATCATTTGCACAACGGAACAAAAAGGGATTATTAGAGAAACATTGAGCCAAAAAGGTGAAAGTGAGTTCCTCCAGCTTTAACACAGCCTCCTTAAACAAACACCATCTTTTTCTGATGTTCTACATGATAATCTCGGCAAACAGCACACACGCTACAGCACTGCAACCTGCAGGTCTCTGCATGCAGACGCTTTATAACATGAAACACAAGCTGCTGCGAGTGGATGCTGCAGCTGATGATTTATTACTGCAAACGGCTCCAAAATGCAACTAAATATCACTGAGCTGGTTAACCTCCCAATAAAGCAGGAACCTTCCAGGTTCTCTTTTTATTATGCAGCCATTACTGGTGATAAGGAGGATTTACTGCCTGCTGCTGGTGATGCGATGACAGCAGCTGGGCTTTTACGCCAGAGGCTTTTTGTCAATGGAAACAGTTTGGCAAAGAACAGATCAGAGAAAAATGCTTTGCGTAAAGCAATCCACCAGAATATTCTGTGCATTGCTAAAGTATCCACACACCTTAAAGCACAATTTTGAGGGCTTGTATTAGGATGAGCGACAAACCAAAACAGCTCAGAATTAGTCACTGGAATTAAAATGATTCATTGTTTTTAATATTTTGAACAAAAGTGATAAGCATCTCTGGTAGGAGTCTAATAATAAAAAATAATGGGCCTAGTAATGAGTCTAACTGGATGGACTTTTATTGTCTTTGGGGCTGAAACAGAGCTTAATAACCACAATGCTAAAGCTCAGGGTGAAAGATGGGATAACCGTGACAACGCCAACGAGAAAGAAGAGAGAGAAAAGTTAGGTTTAATCACAGTTGATGTCATTATTAGGATATTCAGATTAACACGACCCATCTTCCAAGAATGATGCTGCCACCACCATGCTTCAGTTCAACTTTGGTTTTGTCACTTCCCTCCATGTTTGCTGTGGCTTGTGGCAAACTGCAAATGAACTTTCCACCCTCCAATAAAGGCCTGATTTGTGGTATGATCAGTAGTTGTTGTACTACCCCCCCTCCTCCCCGGGTGAGTTACTGTTCCTGTTGATAACAGCTGGTTCCTCACACTGTTTCTGTTGGCCTTCGCCTTTCTGAACACAAAGACAATCATTTTCATGAACATGTAATGAGCCTAATGGCCCCTCTGAGACTTGCATTTCCAGCAGCACGCTCTTCTTTATCCTGACGCAGCTCCTGTGTGTTAAACAAAGCACGCTGGATGGTTGCAGCTGGGTCACCTAACTCAGGACATCTGGCCACCAGGCTCACCACAAGATGGAAATTCTACTTCCAAATCTGAGAGCTATGCTGTCACAAAGTGCAGCCCATCAGCGTGTTTCTGAAAAGGCTGGCAAATGGCACCGAGCTGGAAGTGCAGATATGAATTCCTTCTGAGTTAGGAATCCCAGAGGATCCTTGAAGTCAGCTGAGCTGCTCAAAGTGGCAGCATGTTATCTGTTACATTAATTCGGAGTTGTTCTTTTTAAATATATGTATATATAATTCCTGCATTTATGGTTCAAACATAGCTTTAAGTATTACAATGAGACGTTTTTTTCTTTTTTGCAAGCCACTTCACTCTCAACCAAAGTATCAATAGTTTTTCAGTTGCTCTACTAGAGAAAACAAAATGTTGAATTTCTTTTACCAAAATGTGAAGGACTCATACATCACCAAGGCAATTCCTGCTCTTGGCTAATCAGATTGTGATCTTGTTTAACATAAAGCTGTTGTTGTGACAAAAAGAACTGAACAGATAGTAACAGGAAGCAGAAGAAGTCCTTCAGGGTTCCTTTGGGTGTACAGACTGGGATGCTCTGTTCAGCCACATGGAGTGGACATCAATGTCCAGACTGAGTGAGAAACTGACTGTACAGCTTCTGTATGGAAAATACCAGGCCATCTAAAACACTGTGATGATTCCTCAACAACAAAGCCTGATATACCAGTGACCTGGGAGACCTGCTGAACAAGAAAAAGAGCCTAAAGGGATGAAGACAGAACATTCTTGAGGAGTGTATGGAAGCCACTTCAAGTAGGTGAACAGAAAATAACTGAAGAGCAAGTAACAGCAGAACAATATCAAAAATTTGTGATCAGGGTGAAGAAGATTACGTGCTTAGAGCAGCAGAAGGATCAAGGTCAGAACAGAGTCAGTTCAGTAACAAGCTCATCATCCTCCTTTCAAAGCAAAGGTCTGCCTTGTTCCTGAACCAAAGGAAAACCTGTCCATCAGTGCTCAGTAACAACATAATGATGGCCTGACATCCCACATTATGACGCTCCTGAAGACATGACTGTTGGTTCATCGGAGTAAGCAAGCACATACTCCGATGAGTAAGTGCTTACAGCTGTGGATCTGGAGAAATCAACTGTAACAAACCCTCAAACTCCAGAGGAGAAAGGTGGAGGCCTCAATAATCAATGATTACCCAGGTGATCAGAAGCACAGGATCTATACTCTCACTATTCATTTTCACTCTGTACACCACAGACAAGCACAAAATGGATTGGCCAGGCCGATTGGAACCACAGCTCTCAGGTTTTCAGGTAGCGGGGTGGGACCAGCTGAAGTCATGCAGGCCGGGTCAGCCTGAGTCGGGCTGTGCAGCATTAAAGAGGCTGTTGATTCGCTCTTTATTCTGGTGATGGTGCTTTGAGTAGATCTTTACAGCCAACACCAAAAGGCACAGCTGCTGTCTGCGAATGGAGCAGAGTGTGGAAAATGATAACACGTCTTTGAGCATCTCCCAATCAACACACAGGCACATGGGCTCTGCCTTGTGGCCTGTTTATTGCCTGGTCACATAACAGCAGCTGCTGCTCTGTGTCATCACAGAGAAATGCTTCCAATCTCCCATGAAGTCATCTAAAGAGGCAGTTCTTTGTTACATAAGGAAAACAGGGCACTTGGGCTGAGCTAACAGGGTCAATTTTTTTTTCTTCTCTCTGGATTGTGTGGTGAAGATTTTACAGCAATCTTTCAGATCTAACTAGTTGTGTGGGATACAGAGGGGTAAGAAAAACATCGGAGGCTTAAGGCAATGTGCAGAGATCATTTTTCTATCCATCTCACAGCGCGTTTAGGGCTGCGAATGCTCCCAAATCCAAACTGCAGCAGAACAAGCCTCCAGACAGAGGCTGAAATAGGTCAGACAAAAGTTTATGTGGCCACATTTCACGCAATAAATGTGCAGCCCACTTTCAGATTCCTATTTGTCATTAAAGTTTGTGGTTGCAACAGCAAAAAATATGGGAAACGTTAAGGGGTGTGATTACTTTTGCAGTGAACCGTATGTCAAAAGATGAGGTTTCCACTCCCAGGCTGTCTCTGAAATGTTCTCTGAATTGCTCTGCAATTTAAAGCTCTGTGAAGATTTGACAGATAACTTGGCTGATGTTTCACAATCTTTTCTTTTCAATCAGCCTCTTATCGACTCTCTCCCTGTTGGAATGGCAGCGGCTTGGAAAGCACTTCCCTTCTGTTCTGTCAGGCAGCATCCTTAAAAGGCTTCAAGCCCCAGCGGCTCTTTCAGTCAAAGTCTTCAGGCGTTTTTCAGCAGCGGCTCAGAGAAAACTGCACAACAAGTGTGTAACAGCTGACCGGTGCCGAGGCTGAACGCAACCGCCAGGGCAGAGCCGGCCCGCAGCCAGCAGAGGACACAAAGCACAGCGGAGAGCGGCAGATCTACCTCTTGGCGCTGGTGGAGAGCTTGGCAGCAGTCTTGCTGGAGATTTTGGCCTCCTTCTTTTTGGGTTGAGACTGGTCCCGCTGCTCGGGGCCGGGCTGCTCCGGAGGGGCCGCCTCCCTCTGCTCGGCGTCGGAGCTCCCCCCGCTGGTGTTGGGGCTGTCGTCCGGCCTCGGCTGCACCTCGCTGGACATGCTGACTCTGCGGAGCACACATACCGAATTTAACACACAGTGAGGAGGAGACACAACAGATCTGTGAGCACTGAAAGACCGATGCTGAAAACAAAACACACAACTTTGTAGGTCCGGAGTCTCTCAACTCCTAAAATATATTGTACAATAATTGGGTGGGCGGGTGTGCCGCTGTCCGTGCCTGGCTTTGACTCCTGCTGAGGACCATTATGTCTCTCTTTCCCGCCTCATTTCCTGTTATTTGTTCAGAGTCAACTATCAGGAGGAAAAGCACCACGATGCAGCGCTCAGATTGTTCTTCAGCACCGCTCACTGATCCGTCGTCCCTCAGCGATCAGAACCGTCCTGCGGGATCCATGGTGGACGGAGCGGTTTGGAATCTAGCAGAAAGTATCAGGATTCTAGGATTATTCCGATCATGGCACGTCAAGAGAAAGCTGGATGATTCCAGAATAGCTGACTGACCTATAATTAGATCAGAAGGACAGCACCACTATTGATTTTGCAGATATTTAATCAAACCGGTTTAAGATTTTACTGTAGCTATAGAATCTAATAAACTCATTCAATAGTACTTAAAATTAATTTCAGATCTCACATCGTGTTTTCTCTAAGTAGCCTTTTATTGCGATTAGGGCTGCACAGAACGTTGTTTATTATTATTACTATGACAACTAATCGGATAAAAACAACTAGCTCATTCTGGAGATTTTTCATTTAGTCATTTAAGCTTATTTTAAGCAAAATTAGAAATGCATAAGAAAATCCAAATAATGAATTTGATTCATTTTTCCCCAATTAGAAGACAATAACAATAACAGCATTCCTTTACAGAACACTTTATCGTTTGTAGCAAAGGATAAAACAATCCTAACATCAACATGTGAAAAGCCCAGGCCTTTTTGCTGGACTGATCTGGTGACTCATATTTTGATTCATTTATTAATAATTTGACAGCAAAAGGTGCTAAACAGAAGATTTACTTGACAGAATTTGGATGAGGTGAAGCTGAAACTGCCACTAGGGGAGTTCTGGTAGAACAGAGTTACAGGTTGTTTTCTCCCCATCTTAAAAGTAAAGTGCAGGTATATTTAACACAGTTTTGGCTTTATTACTGCTCTGACTGTGTTGTTCCTTCAGCCAATAGCCTTTATATGAGTCTGTATGCTCCAGTTAACAAGTAATCTATGATTAAATTAGTTGACAATTATTTTAGTAATTGATTAACCGTTTCAGCCCTAATAGCAATTATTCAACACAGTAGAAATAAACCCTGTAACTACTCATTCTGTCTCTCTGCTCTCATTTAAGTTATTCCAGCTGATTCTCAAAAGAACTCCTACTGTTAATTACGCCTCCAATACAGTCATAAGACAACCATCAGTTACTCAGTTTATTACTATGTTGTTGGCTAGCTAAAGCCTTTCCGGTCCTGCTAGAGATTCCCAGCTGAATTTCAATCTGAACTTTGACTAGAGCATTCTAAATTAGACTAAAGTGATTCCCCTTTCCTAGCTGAAAGGAAAGACTTTCCTTTCTGGATTTTTTTCTTTCTTTTCAGCCTAATTCTCTGCTAGCTGATGGCAGCATTTAGCTAAAAGTTGGCTTTACAGGAACTTTTTTCCGAGGCGTGAGGAGAGAGCAGGACTGTTTTCAGTGTGGCTTTGACCTCAGCTGGCATATTTTTAATAATCATTGACCTGCTAACCTCTGCCACTTCTTCGTTCAACAGTACATGTTTTAAAACTCAATCAAAAGAAGCTGAGTTGGAGCTAAAACTATGAATATTTCCATTCAGGTGCTCAGAGACAGTCAAGCTGAAACTCTAGTATGTAAAACACGTACAAGGTGACATTCACTAGATTCATTGAGCCCATCTAATAGTAAGTCAAGGTGAATGCCTCTATTTACATTCTCAGATCCTGTGTGATAAATGTAGGAGGCAGTCAGGTGGAGGAGAGGAGAGGTTCTGCCAACTCTGCTGCTGCCTGAAATAATTGACCCACATGGACAGAGCCTCCAACCTGACCTCTGCCAAGCAGTCACACCAACCTTAGCTGCAGTAGGCTGTGGGGAATTATCGGGGTTAAAGTGACACTAAGCTGAATTTCTTCATCTGAAACATTTTCTTCTTTGACACCACCTTCTCGAGGAAGGATGTTCAAGTTGTGGAAGTGTCTCCAGCTGCCAGCTGAGGTCAAAGTCACACTGAAAACAGTCCTGCTCGTCTCGGAAAAAAGTCCTTTTAAAACCAACTTCTAGCTAAATGCTGCCACCAGCTAGCAGTTGTTTAATGTAGCTCCGTGTCAGAACCAGTGAAGCTTGAACGCTGCTCAGTGCGGTAAGTTCAATTGTGATTGAAATTGTTGACTCTGAAAAGAAGCTAGGCGCGTATCAACAGCGCAGTTTAAGTGCAGGACGTTTAAAATGCATCACATTGTTCTGTTGAATGGTCTGGTGTAGTTACAGCAAACAGGTCGCGTGGTGATGTGGTACGAGCCCCACGAGCTCCTGCCGCCCCGAGTCCTCTGCTTTTGTTAGCAGCAGATCAAGAGTTGGCCGCGAGGCAGCCGCGCAATTAAATTTCAAAGGATTAAGTTCCAGAATGCACGCGCACAATAAGCGAGCACCTCCAGAAGCGGGGCTCGCGCTGACCTCTGCCAGATAGATACCCTAACACAAAAGACTCCCCTCCCGCCGCCCTCCCCACTACCTCATCCCACCCCACCCTCCGTGTTCTCCACAACGACAACCGCCAACACCGCCGCCGCCCCCTTCCACAATAATACACCCCCAATATTCTGAAGAGAGGGCTCGTGTCTAAGAGGAAACGAACTCCTCACCTTTTCAAGCAGGCTGGAAGCACAGCGGCCGTGAAAACGGTTCCCAGTGCCCACTTTATCTTCCGTAAATCCAAAACACTCGCCGTCCGCTGCTCCGCGTCACTTTGGTTTGACTGACTGCTGCTGGAGAATGTGCCAAAATGCGTCTGTCATGGCGGAGAGCCTTAGAGAGAAGGGTTCCTCTTTGACCCACTAAAATAAAAGCCCAGGTTTCCTTCCGCTTTGTTGTTTTTTCCTCTCTATTATTAGGTTCAACATCTGAAAGGAATAGGTACAAACAATAATTATAGAGCTCAACCAATCAGCTTAAGTATTAAATATAGTTTTTCTAATGTACCTGTTTGGAACAGTTTTCTGTTTTTTCCAGGGACAGCCCTAGGTTGATTAGGCCCTTAGCTGAATTTCATTTGCATGCTTTGGTAATTGAAAATGGACGTTGGCCTGTTTCCATGTTTCTAGAGAAGCTCCTCAATCTGCAGCCATTGTTTGTTGTGACTGAAAGAGGTGCCTTTTCTGATTAATAGCATTAGTGTTTGCTGGCTGAAGTGGATGGATGTTTCTTGCAGATGATGTGATTCTGTCGGCTTCATTAGATGGAGTGGTTCACAGTTGACTGCAAGTGAACAAGATGAAAATCAGTGTCTCCAAATCCAAGACTGGAGCCTTGAGCTGGAAAAGAATAGGACACCTTCTCTGGGTTGGGGAAGACGTCCTGTCCCAAGTGAAAGAGCTTAAATATCTTAGGGTCTTGTTTACGAATTAGGGAAAAATGGAGCAGGAGGGCAATAGATGGATTGGTGCTGTGTCTGCAGTGTTGCAGGTGTTGTACCAGTTTACTGTGGTGAAGAGAGAGCTGAGCCAAAAGGGAGAGCTCGCAATTTAAAAGTCTATTCATATTCCTACCCTCAACTATGGTCACCAGCTCTGAATAGTGATTGCAAGAACAAGATCGCAGATACAAGCGTCTATTTTGGCTGCAGGGTATCTGGGTTCTCTGATGGAAATGGGATGAGAAGCTCCGTCATCGGGAGGATCTGAGTTTAGCTGACTCTTCGCACTTCAGCTTGTGCCAACTATTCTGGCTTTGTTGTGTTTGTCCCTTTTTTCTTATTATCAATAAAATACTAAATACAACTTACTTACTTATTATATTTGAAGAGATGTGTCTCATAAACAAATTTCTTGGTAGGATTAAAATAATTTGTGTATGATATGTGCACAAATAAATTTTGGACTTAACTGTTAATGTGTTTCATTGTTGTTTAGTATTTTATCAATCAACACTTCCGGTCTTTTTCTTGACAGAAAAACTTGACAATCAGAGCGATTCCCCACGAGCACGCGCGCGTGCCTTGATGTGATGTAGCAGGCTGTAATGTTTTTGCAGACCACAAAGAAAGAGGAGAACCCACTGGATGCTAAGCCCATCTTGCCTGATTAAATATTTTTGCGGTATGCTGCATGTACCGACTGATGTTTATTAAAGTCTTCTAATTCTAGATTCACTGAAACACCGCAGCAGAAAAGAACAATAACTCATAAGTGTTCAGAATTAAAAATAAAAAATAAAAAAAACCTGACAGTAAATTAAAAATAGAAAAATCTTTCGTATTTTGACTAATATAGCGCAATGGTGACGTTGTCGTTATTTATTATTATTATTTATTGATGTTGACGACGTCATTACAGCGGAACTGTCCGTCGGTCGGTGTTTCTTACCCAACGATAAAAGCGACGGATGGCAGGTCCGTAACATGCGCCATTGAAAACAAACGCAGCAGCTACGGTGGCTCGCGCTTTCTGCTAACTCGGAGCTCCCTAACCCAGGTTATTATAGACACATTGTGTGTTTGCGAACCATGGAGACGATTTTAGAACAGCAGCGTCGGTACCACGAAGAGGAAGAGCGACTGATGGACGCCAAAACTAAAGAAATGTTGCACAAAAAGTCCACGGTAAGCTCTGGCGCTACAAGCTAGCGTTAGCATGAGGCTAATCCTTACTTGATAGAAACCAGAACACTGTTTTCTACACAGTCATTGTTTTCCTTCTTGTTTCAGCTTCGAGAACAAATTAATTCCGATCATCGCATACGAGCCATGCTGGATGTAAGTATAAAGTTCGTTTTGGATGGATGGATGAGTCTTTCTTGTTTTCTAGTGGAACGGAAAAGTTACGATTTTAATTTAGTGTATTCTCAGAGAAACGGATTACGACCTTTTAATGGGTAAATAGAGCGAATCTGTGTAAGGAGTCTATATTTACAATGTTGATCTTTCATAATGTCTTTACTTTGCTCTGACATGTTGTGCAACAGCTTCTGTCTCACATCTTACTTGATGGTTCAGTTCAAATTCAAAAATACTTAATTTATTACAAAAGAAAATGAAACATTGTAAATCTGATGTAAGGCCGGTCCTCCTGGCTTGGATTTGAGGACCTCTGTTCTACAAAGCGATACCTGGATGAAACCACCCGTTGTTGGCAGCTCTGCTAACCACGCCATTTGCTTTTGCTGCTCGTCTTTAAATCTGTATAATCAGAAAGCCGGGCAGAGAGGCAATGGAATACTTACCTTAACTGATGTTGGGTCTTGAAATTGTGACCCTTATCACTTTTGCCTTATGACATCCACAGTGAGGAAAAATGCATAAAAGTCTTCATCAAGTTGTCTCTGGGTTGTTGGCTGTAGCTGCTCTTCACCGATGGATCATGGAGAGAGCTTTGAGTAAACCCAGTTATGAAGGCGATCCAGCCGATATCCATTTATCTGATTCTGGTTGCGTTTTGAGCCCGTGGTTCTCCACTGGGAAGAGATGCTGCCAGGGTGAATGATGCCCAGGGTTTTCCTTCTTTATCTGCTGCAGCTCAGATAAGTGGAAGATTGATGGATCAGGAGGATTTACTGTGAGGGTTCATTCCCACCAGCTCCGTTTAATCCACTTTAACTGAACTCCAGTTGGCCTGCCTAGAACGCCGGGTTGGTTTGGGGAGGTGTGAATGTGTAATGGGAGTCTGATGTGAAGCCTGACTGCTGCGTGTCTCCTGACAGAGGTACATGGATGTGAGCGCAAACCTGAGAGACTCCTACGAAGACAAAGACGGGTATGTTTATTTTAAGTCTTTGTAGCAATATGTTTATAGCTGAGGTTTTTTCTTTTGATAACATAAAAAAAACTGAAATAATGAACATTTATTTGAGGGATTTGTGTCAATTTAGCCTTTTTTAGATTGTTAGACTTACAGTGATTTACATATTTTTGCTACTTTATTTGTTTGATAAAAGTACCGTGGCTTAGTTTATTGCTGAGAAGGAAAATAAACATGTTTTTGGTTCATGAGTTTTGACTGCATGACTTTGAAATATGCGACCAGATGTCTGGACTCCCCTGACCTGGATGATGTTCTAGAGGAGGAAAAGCAGGCCTGATTCCAGGCAGCTGGTTCTGCTAGCAGACGTTTAACCCTTTGAAACCGTTCTGTTTGGCAGGATGAGGAGAGACGAGCTCGCCGCCATCTCTGGACCAAACGAGTTTGCTGAGTTCTACAACAGACTGAAACACATAAAGGAGTTCCACCGAAAGCATCCCAACGAGGTAGGAGAGCTGCCGCCACGCCGTCGGGTCACGTTGTGTCAACAGCAACAGTAACACAGAGTCTCTGGGCTGCTTTGTGTCTTTCTTCCTTTGTAGATTTCCATTCCCATGTCAGCAGAGTTTGAAGAGCTGATGAAGGCCAGAGACAACCCCAGTGAAGAGGCTCAGAGTAAGACTCATTATTCAGGTTTTCCAAACTCAATAATTGGGGGAACTCTGCAGGGCTGGAAGTGACTGTGTTTACTGATGGTGAATTAAATGGTTCATCTTATGATGTGAACCTTAAAGGTCCACTATTATGCTTCCTTGACCAGGCTGTGGCCTATTCAAAACACGTCTGTTCCATTTAATTAGCTGCTCTCTGCTCAGGGAGACGCATGAGGCTGAGCAGCCGGTGGATTCCTGAGCTGCTGTTCTGCTGATTTACTTGTTTAAATGATCCGTCTTGTGTCACAGTGGTTGTTTAGCTCAGCAGCATTAGCTGGTAAACACTCAGCCTAACAGCTGTGCTCCTCCAGACATGGTGGACTTCACTGATGAGGAGGGATACGGCCGCTATCTGGATCTCCATGACTGCTACCTGAAGTACATCAACTTGAAGGGAGCTGAGGTAATGGCGCTCCGTTTCTGTCGTAATCATCAGTTTCCAGACAACAGGAGCCATGTTCTCAAACTGCTGCCTGTATCCCTGCAGAAACTGGACTACATCACCTACCTGTCCTCATTCGACCAACTTTTTGACATCCCCAAAGACAGGAAGAACGCAGAATACAAAAAGTAGGTCCACGATCCTGTTTGTGTTGGGTCTGACCCGATGGGCCTGAACTACATGACCCAGGGAACCATGTGGTTTGTGCAGGTACCTGGAGATGCTGCTGGAGTACCTGCAGGACTACACGGACCGGGTCAAGCCTCTGCTGGACCAGAACGAGCTCTATGGGAAAGTCCTGACTGATTTTGAGAAAAAGTGGGAGAACGGGACGTTTCCGGGCTGGCCTGTGAGTGCTGCCTTTGGCCCACGGAAACCACGGTGATTCACTGAGGCGTTGTAGCTCACACTTCTCCATGTTTCTGATCTGACTGCAGAAAGAGACGAGTAGTGCTCTGACGCACGCCGGAGCTCATCTGGACCTCTCTGCGTTTTCCTCCTGGGAGGTAAAATCAAACTTTAACCAGAAGGGCTGCTGTCGGCTAACCGAACTCACGGGTCTGCTTCATCCTGCAGGAGCTGGCTTCTCTGGGTCTGGACAGGCTGAAGTCGGCTCTCATGGCTTTGGGCCTGAAGTGTGGAGGGTAAGAAGGAGAGGAAGTTCAGATTCATTTCACTTTTCTGCACTTTGTCCCATTACAACTTCAGTATTCTTTTCCTTGTCTGATTAATCAGTTTACACCTACATCATGGTGTCTGTGCACCCTGGAATGTAAAATTACATTCATATTTTACTGTAAGTTGGCTTTAAATACAGTAATCACAAATCTTACATTTTGTTGTGGCAGCACTATTTGATCTTGTACCTGTAGGTTTTTATGATGGGACAGTTGGAGTCATGCCTGACATGTTTAATAAGTTTTGACTCGAGGCGTTTAAGTCTAACCAGCTTTTTGTGTCTAACTTGGGTAAGTGCAAATTTATGAGAAGAACCTGGCTGCAGAAAGTGAGTGGCATCGGGTCAGGAGTCAGATCCATACCATGTTGCACCCTGGAACTGAAGGGGGCGCCATTTTCTGTCTCTGCCCCACCACTTTCTATTTTCTGCAGTCAGACAATAGAAAGGTGTTAAAATTTGTCTCCAGTTTGCAGGATGACATTCACTTTCGCCACATCACAATACATTCAGGAGCAGTTACTCCTGATAATCTGAAATTTTCTCAATGTTATGAAATGAAAATAAAAAGTTTCATTTAAAAAAAAAATCTCATAACAAAAACGTTTGTAGTTTTTTAGCATGTTTTCTATCTTATTACAACTGAAAAGTTTCTCAAGATAATTTTCCCAAATTTATTTCCTAAAAGGTTTTAAATTTCACTGGCAGAAAATTCAGATATGCTGCACATGAATAGTTTCACTGGATTTTATTCTGAAGCACCAGAGTACAGATGCTCAACATACTTGCCAGATTTAAAGTCATAAAGAATCTTGAACGTGATCCCTCCTTTTCCTCTCACTATGACACCGTGTGTGTGTGTGTGTGTGTGTGTGTGTGTGTGTGTGTGTGTGTGTGTGTGAGATCAGGACTCTGGAGGAGAGAGCTCAGAGACTCTTCAGCACCAAAGGCAAATCCCTGGAATCCTTGGACCCGTCTCTGTTCGCCAAGAACCCCAAAGCCAAAGGGCCTAAGAAGTATGTGAGCGTATTAAAATGACTGTTGATCCTGTTGTGTGACGGGGCAGAATGTAATCGTCTCCATCCCTCACCACTTCAGAGACACGGAGCGGAACAGGGAAACGGCCTTCCTGGAAGCTCAGGTCTACGAATACGTGGAGATCCTGGGGGTGAGTCTTCGTCAGCAGCTTCAGGACCGGCTTTGGCCCCGCCCCGACTGTGATGGCCTGACCCGCTGGGCTCTGTGGCTTCTGTGCAGGAGCAGAGGCAGCTCACCCATGAAAACGTGCAGCGGAAGCAGGCGAGGACAGGAGAGGAGCGCGAAGAGGAAGAGGAAGAACAGCTGAGTGAGAGCGAGAGCGAAGATGAAGACAACGAGATCATCTACAACCCCAAGAACCTGCCGCTGGGCTGGGACGGCAAGGTGAGGCCCAAACACTCAGTCAGACCGCCTCAGCACCCTGGAGTGGTTCAGTTTGGCCCGCATGTCACAAGGATAAACTCGTATATACATGGAGTGAGACACAGTGAGCTCTTATGCTTTGAAATGTTGATGTTTTGTGGCTTACAGATGATGAAAACTCCAAAACTCAGCATCTCTGAAAATTACAATATGACATGAGATAAAGTTTGAAAAAACTTTTTTGATCTATAAATGTTGCATTGTGGCCTACAGTCATGGGGAAGACTGCTGACTGGACAGATGTCCAGAAGAGGAAAGGACTGTGTCCAAGTTTGTTCATGGAAAGTTGAGTGGAAGGAAAAGATCCATTCAACAATAGATGGAGCTTCAGAATGAGTGGAGTCAGCGAATCAGAAGCAGCTATGTTAGATGGAGCCCTCACATGGACCACCGGTGTCTGTCCTGGGCTCAGAACCAGAACTGGACTGGTCCCAGTGCTCCAGAGTCCTGGTTTCAGATCAAAGTAAACTCTGCATTTCAGGGTGGATTCGACCAGAACCAATGTAGCTTAGTGTTCAGTGTGAAGTCTGTACAGTCAGTGATATTTTAGGTTTCCATGTCATCTGCTGGTTCTGGTCCACTGGGTTTTTTCAGGTTCACAGTCAGCAGCGTCTATTTCAGTGTTTCTCAACCCTGGTCCTCACCGCCCCCCTGCTCTTCATGTTTTAGATGAGCCTCTATTCCAGAACAGCTGATTCTAATGATTGCATGACCATCAAGTACTGCAGAAGCCTGTTAATCACCCAGAGATACAATTCAGGTGTGTGGCTGAAGGGAAATACCTAAAACATGCAGGACAGGGGGGCGGTGAGGACCAGGGTTGAGAAACTCTGGTCTAGCAGGAAGTGGTGGAGCTCTTCCTGCTGGTAGAACCAGCTGCAGCTCCTCTGTTTGCTCCAGCTCAGTCAGGTTGGACTGAGACTATCTGTGATTATCAAGTTTTGCAACGAATTCTCTGTTGGACTTACATCTGAACTTTGACTAGGCCATTCTAATGCATGAATATGCTTGGATATAAACCATTCCAGCTCTGGCTGGAGGTTCAGGGTAAAGGAGAACCTCCACTCCGCTCTCAGGTCCAACTGGGTTTCTTCCAGGATTGTCCTTCATCTCCACGGCATGATGCTGCCACCACTATGTTCAATAGCAGTCTTACCTCCCACACACAAGTTTATTAGAATAACGCACTTCAGCTTTAATGCAATTCAAAGTTCTTTACATGATAAAAATATAAACGATGATGAACAAAAAAAAATTTCTTCACAGGAGCAAAATAAAGAAGTAAATAGTTGAAATCAGACTAGACTTAATTGGTGTTTTATTATTATTAGTGCTATGTTTGTTTCTCTGATTTATAGGAACTCAGTGTTTCGGCTGTTTTGCAGTTATCTGGAAGTTTGCTCCAGATTTACGGTACTTAGAAGCTGAAAACTGCTTCTTTATGTCCAGTCTGTGTAGTTGGGATGGGAAGACACTTTGGATTCACTCAGTTTTATTTGCCGCTGTCAGAATACAAGCGCCCTTTTCAGATTTTTAGCTGTAGAAATATTAGAGAGCCATGTATGGTTTTCCTTCCACATCAGTTACTTGCTGCTTTTTTTTTTTCTCATGTAGCATGTTTACATAAAAACCAGTTTAAGGGTTGTGTTTTGTGGCCCAGACTGAAGTCGGTGTGTTTTTTCTCTTCCCCTGCAGCCGATCCCTTACTGGCTCTACAAACTGCACGGCCTGAACATCAACTACAACTGTGAGATCTGTGGAAACTACACCTACAGAGGACCCAAGGCCTTCCAGAGGCACTTTGCAGTACGTGTTTCCTTCTGTGAAAAGAATTCTTATAAATGATTACAGTAAGATCAAGGTTTTATTTTTTCAGTATTATTTTTTGTCTGTGTAGGAGTGGCGGCATGCACATGGAATGCGCTGCCTAGGAATCCCCAACACGGCTCATTTCGCTAATGTCACACAGATAGAGGACGCCGTCTCCTGTAAGTCCGTTCCTTCAGTCGGTGCCGTGTCCGTCTGTCTGAGACCGGTGTTAACTGCTGATGTGTTTGTGTTCAGTGTGGGCGAAGCTAAAGTCCCAGAAGGCGTCGGAGCGGTGGCAGCCGGACACAGAGGTAAGCACAAAGCCCTCTGGACAGAATGTGATGCAGTCTGATTCCTTCACTCGTGTCCTGCGTTGTGTCCCCTCAGGAGGAGTACGAGGACTCCATTGGAAATGTGGTCAACAAGAAGACGTACGAGGATCTGAAGAGACAGGGCCTGCTGTAGACGGACAGCACGACTCTGAGATGCTTCCTTTTTAAAAAAAATCTATTTACTCCTGTTGTTTTATGTCTTAAGTAGTTCTGTTATTTTCCAGACAACTTTTCTCCAGTTTGTAACATGTGAACCTCTGATGATTTCAATAAACCGAGGACTTTGAGTCCCTGTCATTCCTAAACGTTGTTCTGTCCGGGGAGCCTGATGAACCCCAGGATTCTGATTATGTGTCTCAAAGACAGGCAAAATTTGATTAAATTGTTTTTCAGTTATGTCTTTCTTACCCAACCAAATATGCTAAGATTAGTTCATGTTCCAGCTCTTAATGTTTCATTGGCTCTAAATCAACAATGTCTCTGAAGACAACCAAAGGAGCAAAATGTTACTCTGCAGCTGTTTCCATGTGGCCTCCACAAGGTGGGGCTCTTGTGTTACTGTTACTGTGGACAACAGAAGATATTATGTGATGTCCTACAGTTTAAAGCAGATGTTTGCATACATGGCATGGAAAGAGGCATCTTTTGTTTTACTGTCTGGAGTTAAATCAAATCAGTTATTTTAGTTCAGTTAGACTGACCAGAATTATTTCTATTTGCAAAAATCAAAGAGATGAGAGAAAGATGTCAGATTTATTTATAAATGTCTTCAAGATCAGAGGTTTACATACAGAATGATTACTGTCTCTTTAAGCGACGAGGGAAAGCCCAGATGATGATGTCATGGTTTTGGAAACCACTGATACAGAGATATTAGAATTAATAGGAGGCACACCTGTGGAAGTATTTGAAGGTCTCACCTGGAACTCATTTCTTTCTGGTTTGACATGATGTAGAAGTCAGTAGAAATTAGCCCAGGTACCAGGAAGAGAACCAGGAGCTGATCCAGTCTGGTTCTTCCTTTGGAGTAACCTACAGATGCCTGACCTGACAGCATCATGTTCATCTGTTCAACTGACATGATGGGAATGTCTAACCATCATGGTGCTCAGGAAGGAGATGGGTTCTGTTCCATCCTCATCCATGTATTAAAGGAGACAGAGCTGAGGAGGTGTGTGTGTGTGTGTGTGTGTGTGAGCTCTGGCCGAGTAACACTGGTTCTGTCTGGAAGAATGGCTTGAAACCCCAAACATTCATATTACTTTAAGATACATTACAGTTCTACCAAACCCAGAGGAAATGGATCGAAACTTCTGGCTTTGAAGAAACTTTATTCTGACATTAGCAAACAGAAAAAATGTTGATGATCCTAACTGAGATAAAACAGAAAAGTTTGATCTGATTTAATGCCAGACAATGAGAAGTAAAAGATAAGTCATTTTATACAGTGTATGTACGTATCTGTTTTCAATCAGCTGTGTTGTGTGGTAATGAGTGATGAGGAAACTCAGCAAGGTTACATGGTTCTTAAAATGTGTCGCCGTGTTTAGGGTTGAGCTCCACCAGCTGGAAGAAAGAAGGAACTGACCAGGGAAGCAGACTTTAACCTGCCTACATCTCACTCTCTCAAACTGTGGCTTCCTATCCTCCAACATTAAACTCTTTCAGGTGACAATAAATACAAGTCCTCCAACAGTAAACAGACATTTTAATTGATCATAAAGAAAGTACAAGAAATAACAGTCTTTATTTTAGTAAAATAGGGAAGGAAAAAACAGCTTCTCTTTGTAACTGTACTTTTTTTTAAGTTTACAAAGAAATACTGAGCAGAAAATGTTGGTGAGATAAATCACCAGGCTCAACAGTCAGAAGGAGCTCAAATACTGAGACTCACAGTGATCCTCAAAGCCTCCACCAGGCAGATGAAGCCTTGTTCACATCAGCCACTTGTCCTTCTCCTTGTTGAAGGTCTCGGCCCACTGACGAGTAAGCTGTAAATAATGGTCTGCTTGGTTTGGTAAGTAGTCCAAATATAAACGCGCCATTGTCTTCTTGGGTACAGCCCTTTCTATCTGAGTGCCTTCATGCCATTGGTTGAAGGAAGTGATGGTGACGATTTCTGGTCTGACAGACAGAGCCGCCTGTAGGGAGGTCTCATAGTAACGCCCGTTGACCCGGTTTCTGGTGTTGTGGTTGTTCCACGGTCGCACGGCGGTATCCACGTAGCCCGGACCGACGCTGGGGATAAACAGCAGGTTGTTTGCATCACAGAACTCCTTGATGGCTTTCCAGTTCTGGTGGGAGGAGCCGAATGAGAAACCGTTGGAGGCAAAGTAAGTGTACATGCCGTCAAAGCCGCTGGCTAGGATGTCATGCTTGTGGCGCTCCTCCACAACCAGGGCAACGAAAACACCATCGTAAGGCGTCCCTCTGATGCTCTGTGAGCCTTTTGCTGTCAGGAGCTCCGTCCAGGATTCGGGTGGGGTAAGGTAGGAGTCATAGACATAGAACAGTGGCAGGACTTGCCCTGTGCTAGTCCTGAATCTGTAGAAGGCGCCATGGTTTCCATATCTGAGAAAAACAGAGAGACAAATGGAATTTCATATGAAGGTAGCTTGAAGTTAAATGGTAAATTTTCCAATCATTTTGACCATTCAAAGCACTTCACATTAATATACTGATACACAAGCAAGTTGGGGTTAAGTGCCTTGAGGTGCCTAGGTGTACATCATGTGGCAGTAGAAAGCTAGAATTGAACCTACAACCTTTGATCAAAAGACAAGTACTCTACCCACAGAGTCACAGCCACCCCACTGGTAATACCACTACTCCTATTAATAGTAGTACTACCTCTCCTACTACATATAATGATAATGATATTAGTACTAATAATAATGATGTAACTTTTCACAAACTCTTCTATTGTGGCATCTTGTAACACCATGGTGATATCTGTTGTGTGTTTTTGTACCTCTGACATTGGACTGACATAAGAACCTAATGAACGATTAACTGTCGGCTCTTTTTTCTGCGGTACAAATGTACTTCCCTCTTGAACCTGCACTGACTCTTCGGTAGTTCTTAGTCGTGGTGAAGACACAAAACATCTACAGTCGTCATGATGTCCTACCAGAGCCACAGTTCCAAAAACCTCAATTATTACTCTGTCGGCTCACTGATAGAAAATGAGGAACCATCTATATTTAACCAGCTGCTCCTCATCGTCACCCTGTGGCCTTCACCTTCAGTCCTTTAATGCAGAGCTACACCTGTTGGAGGCAAACCCCACCCACCACATACACATACACTGGGAAGGAGCTTACTTGTCAATAATATATTTGATGTTGTCATGCATGCTCTGGTCCGTCCGTCCCTTGTACGGCTGAATGTGAAAGGCCACCTGTGCACAGAGACAGGAGGATGGATTTTCAGTAAAAGCACCAAGTATAAACGAAAGAACCTGGAGAAGACGGAATGTTTCAAATTTGAAAAATGATCATCTTGGTGAAATTTATTTTAATTGTTGTTATCTGCTAATTGTGTATAGCAGCTTTTAGCTAACTCAAAGCTGCTATACACAAACTGCTATACACTATTTTCCATACTGATATACTGTGTTGTAAATAGTCTTTCTAACTTCAACATAAATTAACATTATGTACACTTTTAAAAAAGTAATCTATCTAAGCTGCACATTCCTGATCATGAGTCAAAACTTCCTCTAATAGCTACACAGTATTTTTATGTGATAACCTTGCACAACATAGCATGATCATTATTCTGGTTGTTATTGTCAATCTTCTTTTGTATATGTTGTTTTAGCAATTTAAGGACATTGTGTCTGAACTAGTATATCTGATGCTGCTGTTACTCCTGAATTTCTCTTTGTGGGATAAGAAAAAATATTTCTATTCTACCATCTGAAAAACAGTAAAAATAGCTGGCCTCCACCTTCAGTCCTTTAATGCAGATCTCTGAAGAGGAATAAATACACACCAGTGTGTAAGCAAACTCAGAATTCCTCATTTTTTCCAAGGAGTAACAGAACCTACGTACCAACTGATCCCCACCCTGGGATCTGTTTACCGTAGTCATATCATACCATAGTAAACTGTTCTTCAATCCAAGATAATGTGGTTCTGAGTGGTAAAAGCCAACACAGGGTCTTTTCTGGGTCAACGGATACATGTCATCACATCACCCCAAACATCTGTTCAGACGTTATGATACACAGAGAACATCAAAACCTTTTCTAATATTCCACCTCCTTGTTGTTTTTGATTCTAAATCAATGTTGTTTTAAGTGTAACTGAAGCTGGAGGCCAGATGTTCTGAACCACTGGTTGAAAGTCTGAGGCTCTCGCTCTGAACAACTGGACCTGCTGGGATCACAGCTGAAGCCAACCAAACCATCCAACTCCCACAAGATCAACAGTGAGGGGACAAGGGAACAGTAGAGGGGCAGTAATAGAAGATATACAGTAAAAATGAAAGAGATGCAAATTAAAAATGGTACGTTTTAAGGCACAAGTGAGTGTGATCAGGATGGATGGAGACATTAAGCAACCGACCTGCAGCTAAAAACGGTTCTACAAAGTAAAGTCGTACATTTCTTTCTTTGCACTTCACAACTCTGGTCTACTTTGTGTTAGTTTATCACATAAAACCCTAATAAAATACAAAGAGATTGGAAGTGTTAATGAGACCAGATGTTAGAAAAGTGTAAGGGGTGTGAATAC